ACCTGTTTCTACTCGTGAAGTTTCAGCCATTCTGTAGATTACGATGTTTTTAAATTTATGGTATAAGTAAAGATTAGCATTCACCATCTGCGTTTTCACTTTTCAGTCAGGTTTTTAAATTTCTCCCTTCTGTCCTGGAATTTGGTCGATCATTTAACGCCACCATAACTAATACGACAACAGACGCATTATAAATTTATTGGAGCTCAAACCATTTTATTATGCGTTTAAATCTTACAAGTCACCTGTTAAAGGCACGTCGACAATGTAAGTGCCTATTGTATAACTTGATTAATTAACTGCTTTATGACTGAAGATCTGAGGTCACGCTTAAACATTTTTAGTCAACAGGCAATTCAGTTTTCACATTTACAGATGAAACTTATAATGTCAGATTTGAAACCTCTTCTGAATATATACAAGCTTCTTCAAGATTAGCTAACTAGAATTTTAGTTTTCACATACTAGAAATGTGTACTGTGTTGTTTTACGTACAAAAATTACACATGGACATACATTTCAACCTGGAACAATTATTTGAAAACGAAACAAGTAGGTACTAAACATGCAGGAATCGAACGTGCCACCCTGCTTCGACACTGCCTACCGAGGTATTTAATTAGTCAAAAAGAGTCTTGTGTGCCATTGTGTTTACCGTAGATGTTGTGAAGCGACATTAATAATTCACGATTTTCTTAATTTACTAAGTGGCTGTCTTCATAAATTTTCTATTACGATACTTTGTATTGAAAGTATTAAATGTTTGATGATCCATCAAGCTACGAACTTAAATGTACTACTAATATTACGCCTTCGCTCAAATTAATAGGCCATTAGTATTTATGGCCATTATTTCAACGCCATTTTATTTGAGCAACACGAAGTTTGCGAACGATTCCACTTAATTTACTTTGTTGGCTTGAGCAGGTGTGTATGCGGCGAGATTAAATCGGCACAAAGCAAGAATGTAGTATAAAGTTAATAGGCCTGGATGTCTTTTTAATTATTTAATCAATTTTAACAAATCAGTCTTCGTCACTTATTCCATTGATTTATATAGTTTTGTATAACTCAATGACTTATTCAGTCTGATGCCGCCATATTGGCTCGCTTGGGCTCGCTAGTTCCATGGCGAAACACTAAACAGTTTTCAGGACACGTTTGTTAACTTCAGTAGCGCTGACACAATCCGCCATTTTGCTTATTTAATTTGTTTGCTTTGAAGTAGAGTTTATAAATTGTTTTATGCAATATTAGTTTTAAGTAATATAATGACATGAATAGACATATACATGTTATTAAAAATTCATTATTGATAAGTTTTTAATATGAATACTTTACAAACATATATTTAAATTAGGTTAGGTTCCCCGGTTGAAGCTAACTTCGTGTCCTAGAGGAAAATAGCTACTTACGATTTGACAGCGCTTACCGCTTACGATCGCCATTTTGCTTACAAGCGCTTGCTAGCGGTTTTTTTCTGCCAAACGCACCCAATAACATTTGAAATATAAGTACTTTTATATTTGAGTGATTATTTATGTGAATATAATTACTTGTAAAATATTTATTATTAGTAAAGAAGTTATTTTTATAACTCTTAAACGTTAGGAATTAAAATTAAGTGTCAACTATTTTTATACAGGAAATAGCATTATGTAGATGATAAAAGAACATCCCAATGACAATTAATCGTTTAGAATCTTGTTATAAAAAGAAATATTTTTCTTAATAATCTAACAGTAGGTTTTAGGCAAACACAAAACCTTGCTATTATAGTACCTACATGGTCCGTGTCCAATAGTGGACTTACAAAGCGATGAATAGAGGCTCCCAGGAATTGTTCAGGTTAATTCCAGCTGCCAAATTTTACTGTCGTACACTTCGTCACAAGTTTAAATATAATATAATAATAGTATTGTCTATAAGAACAATACTTCATTTTAAAATCCTTTAACACGAATGTGTCGCTCTTATAATGATATGATTCTGACGGAGTCAGTTAAGGACATTGATGTCTTTGACAATAATGTTAAGTGCTACTTCATGTCAACTATCAATTATTTACAACATTAATTATTTATCGTCGTAATAAAACTTTCACTAAACTGTCGTAAAATTTGTTAAATTTATAAATTGTTTATTTTTTGAGTAAAATATATACATAAATATGTTTACGGATAATGCATGTTGCAACTGTATGTATGCGTTTTTCGTTTGTATTCCAGGTCAAAACTTTGTATATAATAGGTATTTATGTTACGTAAAAGTGAATATAAACTGTTGTGTACATTCAATAAATAAATAAATAACCACCTGTTCTCACTCGCACTCTTCTGTAAAAAAGAAGAACTCTTCTGATTTTAGTCTTTAAAAAAATCTGTAAGGTTGTTATAGAAATTATACCGTTTTTATGTGGCTTAATTTCATACAGCTGTTGAGGTTTTTAAGTGTATTTAAAGAAATCTTATACGATAAAGAAATTTACATTTTACTTTAATTTTCCTCTTAGCCAGCCCCTAAAAGTCCATTTCTGGGATCACCACTCCCATTGAAGAAAGGACTTGCCATAATCAATAAAAATCAAAACGTTTGCTGTCTTGATACGCTGATAGAAGACACCCATATGTACCAATTAACAATTGAAAAAAAAATACGGCTGAAGAGCACTACAACAAGCAAAATGATAGTGTATGCTCAAATCCCCAAAGAAGATGCTGAATACTGCTTTTCCCTGTTCCAAAAACAGACCATTATTTTTTTAACTCTCTATATAATATTATATGTACTTTATTATTTTGTTCTTAGTTGAGCAAGGAAAACAATCCTCATGGACGCCATAAATTTCACCATGATGAAACACGTACGCTATTCATACCCTACGTATATCATTTTGCTCTCATCTGTTCATGAGACAAATATTTTTCATCTTTATCTGTCTACCATAATGTTGGAAAATCTAAATCGGACGCAATAAATTTTGGTTGAATGCATAAAACTCGTAAATTTTGAGTAAACAGATATCTCGTGCATAAGAGCTTTAATCTCAAACACTTTTTATTTATAAATGTGCGGTAAGAGAAACTTTGTTCCAGTGTTGAAATGACAAAGAAGATACATATTGTACTCTAGATTATTACAGTTACTCATATTAAAATTAGTTTACACAATACCAACGGCCATATTGTTGAAAAAAAAAAAATTATTTTAACTCTTCGATTTCCTTCTACGATAGTCTCATGTCGTGTAATGGCGTGCAGTAGCGGTGTGAGAATATCCAATATCCAATGTCATAAGAGTCGAAAAGAAACAAATCAGAAGATGGGCATCAGGATCTAAAACTACTAAAAAATAAAAAATAAACTGCGATTGCCAAAGCTAGTCGTGACAACAACGGCAAATACCGTACGTAACTGTCATATGTCACATGTACTAATATGTCAGAGTAGTCACAGACAAGGTTGGCTACATCTTGAAGCGAGCTTCCATTAAAACATACTACAAGCCGCCGAAGAAGATTAGTCAATTTTTACCATCCGTCAAGTGTAATATCCCTCTACAAGATGCAGGAGTGTACAAGTTAGATTGTGAATGTGGTCTCTCTTACATAGGTCAAACAAAAAGATCCATAAAAACCCGCGTGAAAGAACATATAGCTGACGTGAAGCACCGACGCTCCGGGAAGTCTGCAGTCTGTGAACATGTTCAAGATCGTCCCCACCATTACATCAGATTTGATAAACCACAAATCCTCGCAAAAGAACACCGATTCCTACCAAGGACGATAACGCGAGGCTATTGAAATTAAAAATAGAGAAGATGGAAGGGTGCTGCCATTTGCTTGGGATCCTATAATTAACAAAATTAAACTCAAACCCAAGCATACCACTGCAAGACTTCAAGATACTGTAAGTTCGTTTTGCGTAAATCGGACCAAAAATTAATATTCAAAAACTGAAGATAGCCGGGCTAACAATGACATTGGGACGTGACCATGGTTGCTGTAAAGCACCCGAAACGTCAGGAATTAAAAATAAGTAAAATCAGTTAAATAAACGCGATATAATCCGTAAATGTAGTTTTATCCAAATTGTTTTGTTTGAGTGCAATAAAGAATTTTCTTTCTTTCTGTCTATATATATATATATATATATATATATATATATATATATATATATATATATGATAATGATGATGAAGTAATTCATTTGATATTTTTTATTTGCACGTAGTAATTATAATAACAAAAATATACTCTTTGCCTCACACTTCTGACGCTTTCGCTTGCCAGTCTGAGTAGTAGACTCAACTTAAGAAACCGTCAAAAGCTTAGAGTAATTACATACATACATATCCAGGTCAAAGGTGACACGTAAAAGTGTAGCATCAAAAGACGCAATTATGCATGTACAAGGAATAATTAAAATCGAAGTTAAAAAAAAATAGGATAGGGTGACAAACGAGCACACAGTCCACCTGATGGTAAGTGGTTGCTGTGGCTCATAGACATCTACATTTTTCCTCGATTACGAACACAGAATGCGTTGTCACCCGTGAGGACTAAGATGGAATGCCTCGTTTCCAGTATAAAGGGTCTCTGATTCTCTACACTCACCGTACGAAACACAGTAGCATTGAGCTACTATTTTACGCTGGTATTCAATGAGAGCGTGGTTCTTCTCCAGTCGAGCCGACCCATTCGTGCCACAACTATACTAATAATATAACTGTAGCGTGGCTCTACCACGTAGTAAAAAATATATATACTTAAATAAAAAAATTATGTTTTTTATTTCCACATATATTTACCTAATACCTAATTTATGAATGCCAGATTGTAGCCGCTCTTTAACAAAATATAAACTTAAATTCCAGTTTTCGCTACTACTCGCTCAATAAGGAAATCAAAATTCGTTTTTTTTATGAATTATGTAATAATAGTAAATGAAATATGTAATAATGGTAAATGCACACTTTAATGATTTCATTTTCTGTTCCAGGTCTCATAGCGTCGATTCCTTTCCTGTTAGCAACATTCTTGGTGTATGCCTTCATCCCTGAACTAAGGAACTTGCATGGTATGTGCCTGATGGCGTACTGTGGGGGTCTTATCGTCGCTTACACATTCTTATCATATTTAAAGCTGCACACCGGAAAAGTTGGAGTAGCGATAATGGGTTGCTACATTATCGGTGAGCTAAATTTGATATTATTTAATTAATGTAATGTTTTCAGATTTTTTTAATAAGTAAGAATGACAAACGAGCACACAGTACATCTAATAGTAAGTGAATATTGTGACGCATAGACACTTCCATATTTTGGGGTTATTTTGCAATGATTGGCCAAATTTGCAGAAACGATTCAGAATAAGTAATACAGTAAGTAAATGTAAAAAAATTATTAAAAAAAATCTCAAACATTCCATTCTGATAACTGGGCCCTATCCACCCCCATGATGATCTGTCTCTGCACAGTGTATTTATTTTATTTCCCTAGATTTTAAGCAAACGATTGTTTTTTTTTTACTAACCCTTGTTATTATAATTGTTGTTATTATTATTGTGTTACTAACCCATATGGATTTTAAATATCTGAAATAAATAATTTATTTACTATTATTATTATTATCTGTCCTTATTATCTTTTAAATTCAAAATGCGTGGAAATGCATTATTTTAACTGATTTTACTGCGCACGCACACGTTCATAAGGGTTAATCGGTAACCAAAAACGTTGTTGCCCATAACTCACATTCAATTTGGGATACTTTCAAATAAAAGTAGAAGCCTAATTTACTTGTATTTTCAAGAGTTGCAAAAATGGTATATTATTATTTATTTATTTTACTTACGTTTAAAATTTGGCTTCTCTTCGAAAAATAATCCTGTATACCTTTCCCGTTACTCACCCACCATAGAAAACACAGCAGCATTATATTGCTATTTCACAGTGGTCCTTCCCTATCGAGCAAGCCCATTCGTGTTGTAGGCGCAATTCGTAGCATACTGTTACTGCTGCAGTATTCACATTAAATGAACAGCCTTTCTAATTCTAAAACTGAACGACGATGAAGAGTTCGCCAGCTGGTAAACATTACTTGGAGTTTTTCTCCGAGAGATTTTATAAGCTTTCATCTTCATCGACTTTTACTACACTGGACGAAAATGGCGGGAGATTCTCCTGACATATTCCAGAGACGGAGACATTTTTGAATGCATAAAAGTCCTTACAGAGTATAACAAAAGTAACGGCTCTAAAGTATCGCGGGTTTGGATTCCGCACTAAACAATCTGTATAGCCTACGAATAATTCTTCGGGGTATGGATGTATGTCTTTCTGCAATTTATGCACGTAAACTGCCACCACGATACAGGTAAAAATAGTAACATTTTTATTTAAAAAATAAACAAAGTTCGCAAGTTACGAAGAAAATATTTTATACAGGTCAGGTAAATTTACAGTTTATGTTATTAACATGTGAACACGCGACCAAACATCACGCAAATCACGTTAACAACATAGAACGATTAGGCTACTCTATGGTTATCAACATGTAATCACTACATAATTACCTTGAGGCCGCACCTCTATTAAAATGAGGCTAATTGATATCAACTGCATTTTTCATGAGTTCATTAATGGTAAAACCTTTTTAATTAAATTAGATAGCATTTTCTGGGTGCGTAAGCGGTGACGAGTGAGAGCTACGAACAAACTCATTTTTATTTTCTTTTTTATACTTAAAATTTTTCGTGGCAATACTGGCCAGAGTTTTATCTTAATCTTGTTTCTTTAACTGCAATTTAAAAGTAAAAAGATAAGCTATGGTATTTTCTGGGTAAACCAATTTTCGTAGACAGAGAAACCTATAGACTAATGATCGGCGTGGCCTAAAGTGAGAAAGGACGATAACGAAGTTTTAGGTTATACAATAATCTTTATGACTTTTAAACACATTTAGATATAAATTTTAATTGTTCTAAGAACTAAACTGAACAAGATTCACCAATCTTAAGGTCACAAAACACTTTTTTTTCACTTAAACTAACTTGTAAACTCCTTAAATCGCTACGCTGTTAAAGTTGTTTAGCAAACTGTAGAGTTTGCTAAACAAAAAAACCGGCACGGAGAAAGGGACAAACAATCACACCGCTCTATCTCATTTCTATGCAAGACGTATGCATAAATCTATCTTTTTCGTGTGCGAATGCGAAAGAAGGCGTCAATTTGTCTATAGGTTTCTCTGTCTACGCCAATTTTGATGATTCTTTTTTTATTTGAAAGCTGGTTCTTTTCGTGTTGTCCCATTAAATTTGATCAAAATCTGACCAGTAGTTTTTGAGTTATACCTAATAATGCGTTTTAATTGACTTCGAATACATTGATGGTGTTCTCATTTTATTTATATTGAAGTCGGTTGTACAAAATTTTTAATTTTACCAATTGTTTGTTAACCCGTCACAGACCGCTGTTGATTGGTCTCTTCGGGAGGTATTGATTTGCCATAATCGTTACGCTTCCAGACGGATTGAACATTGCAGTTCTAGACTTTTCGAACCTTAGACAAAGTATTGCTGTTAAATTATAAACACTTTAAAAATATAATTTGGTTAATATATTCACTTTTACAATATATAAATAATAGCAACAGTATAAGTCTTATAACAGAACGAAAATTTTAACTTCATATAGTTTATGCTTTACGTTTTCGCATTACAGATTATATGAGAAATAATCTGTAATGCAAAACTACCTTATGTAAGCAAATACGTTATAGCTGTAGTTTTGATATTACATAAATAATTTTTTTAATATAAGTTTATGGTATATTTAATAAAGTAAACGTGTTCGTAATTATTTCTAAATATTCTAAACGGGCTTACCAATTTTAAATATATTAAATATAATAAATTTAAGGTATGGGGTTGCCTGTATGGTTCTAAAGCTACAGTTGTATATATCGAAGCTGTTGTCCAGACACAAAAACACCCCTATGATGCCGTGGCGGATCACTTGTATAATATGTGTCAAATAATTAAAAGATCAGAGGTAATCGGATGAAGAACATGAATGTAACCGAGTGCTGATGCATTGGTATGCTCTTGCCAAACGTATTATCTTCACAGTAATATGGCCGGCGAGTTCTTAGAATGGCCTGTGTCCACAGCAGAGCAGTAGACTTAAAATGCCTGAGGTAAAGATACGATATAAGGGAGACCAGATCAAACTTAAGTGTGTATATCACACTTTTTAAAATATAAATATTATATCAAATTAATAATTTTATAAGCCAGGCCTGACATAAAAGGAACACGACATAAAAAAATTTAAAAAAATACAAAAATGCCCCAAAATAAATACTGTTTTTCCGGTATTGCTCGACAGCCGACACAGTTATAAATTCAGTTATATTAGTAGTATAATTGTCGGCTCGACCGGGGAAGGATCATGCTCTCACAGAATACAAGCGTAAAATAGTAGCTTAATGCTGCTGTGTTTCGTATGGTAAGTGTAGAGAACCGGAGACCCTTTTTACAGGAAACGATGCATTACATTTTGGTCCTCACGGGTCAACACATCTGCATTTTGATTCGTAATCGAGGATAGATATAGATGTCTAGGGGCCACAGCAACCACTCATCATCAGGTGGACTGTGTGCTCGTTTGTCTCCCTTTCCTATAAAAACATTGAAAAACCCTAAATATGGTATTTAATTATGGTAATTAATTTATGGTATTACCAATAGAAGTTGAAGATAGATTTCAGTGAATTTCAGTTGTTGCATCTGCGTTAAAATAAATTTTTCTAAATGCGTTGCGTTTTGTTGGAAAAATGCATGTTTCAGAAGAGCCATTAAAATTCGTAAAACGTAAATTTAAACCTGCCTTTTGTAACTTTTTTCCGCCGCACCTGCGCCCTATCGAAAGGTTTTTATGTCCGTTTGCATTTGACAACGATTTCGTTAGGGTTGCCATTACATAAACAAACTTCGGGGAAATAGTTCATTAACACTCACCAATTAAGAGTATCGTACGCAGTCACGAGGTTTGTTTACCTCAATATACCATTAACTTAATGATTATTACATTCTGTACCTAACCATATTAAACTCTGTTTTTATATTACTTTTCGACGACCCTTTGTCATGTCCTATTAAAAATCCTAAAATTAGCAAATAAAATTTTAGTCACTCATGGGCAAAAAAAACTATCCTATCTCTCAATTTGGACCAAACTGCACATCATCATCATCATCGTCATTACAGCCCTTCACAAGTCCACTGTTGAACATAGGCCTCACCCAAGTAACGCCAATCGAGAACCTTTCTTCCCCATCGGTTATCGGTTCTTCGAGCTATATGGCCGGCCCATTGCCACTTCAGCTTACTAATCCGTTGGGCTATGTCGGTCACTGTTTTACTGCGGATATCCTCATTTCTGAGTCTATTACGTAGAGAAACTCCGAGCATAGCCCTCTCCATAGCTCGCTGAGCAACCTTGAGCGTCCTCATACGGCTAGTAGTGAAGGACCACGTCTCAGATTCGTAAGTCATTACTGGCAACACGCACTGGTTGTACACTTTAGTTTTCAGAGATTGAGGTATACCTGACGAGAAGATGTGTCGTAATTTCCCGAACTCTGCCCAGCCGAGTTGAAGCCGTCAATTGACCTCTCGGTCGAAGTTGGACTTACCTAGTCGGACTATTTGTCCCAGGTAAACGTACTCGTCAACAACTTCGTGCATAGTGCTCCCAACAACTGCCGGCATAGGTGTGACATGGATATTAAACATGATCTTTGTTTTGTCCATGTTCATTTTAAGACCTATGCGTTGGGAGACACCATTGAGGTCATTGAGCATTGTGCTAAGGTCCTCCAGCGATTCTGCTATAAGAACTATATCGTCAGAAAATCGAAGGTGAGTGATGTACTCGCCATTGATGTTAATACCGTATCCTTTCCAGTCCAGTAGCCTTGAAAACGTCTCCAAACGCAGTGGCGAAGAGTTTCGAGGATATAACGTCACCCTGTCTTACACCTCTCTGCAGTTGGATAGGTTTCGAACTCTGGTTCTGTACTTGGATAGCCATCGTAGCTCTACTGTACAAACACTTCAGCACTTCGATATACTGACAGTCAACTTGGCACCGCTGAAGGGACTGTAGCACCGCCGAAATTTCGACGGAATCAAAGGCTTTCTCATAGACCACATATGCCAGGCAAAGTGGCAGATTGTACTCTTCGGTCTTCTGTACAATCTGCCGCAGGGTATGTATGTGGTCTATGGTACTGAAACCTTTTCGGAAACCGGCTTGTTCGGGAGGCTGGAAGTCGTCGAGTCTGCGTGCGAGACGATTCGTAATGACTCTCGAAAACAGTACGTAGACGCGGCTCGGAAGGGAAATCGGTCTGTAGTTCTTCAAGAGAGCATTGTCGCCTTTCTTAAAGAACAAGACCAACGCACTTCTGCTCCACGCCTCCGGAGTAGTGCCACCATGGAGGATGGAATTGAAGAGCTTCTGAAGGACTTCAAGTACCGGTGTTCCACCCGCTTTCAGAAGCTCCGCTGTAATTCCATCTTCGCCCGGGGCCTTGCCGTTTTTAAGGTGGTGGAGAGCCATTCTAATCTCGCTCAGACTGACGTCCGGATATCATCGGAATAGTGTCGGATAAGACTTGCTCTTGGATCTTTACTCACACTTGCGTGTGGCTCCAACGATGGTGTGTACAGCTGCCCATAGAACCTCTCAATCTCACTCCAAATCTCAGGTGTCCCGGAAACGATGCTGCCACATTCAGTCTTCAGCTTTGACAGTTGGCTCTTTCTGGCAGACAGATGACTTTGGAGCCCTGGTTCCGCTCGATCGCTTCTTTAATACGAGCAGTATGAAAGTTGCATAAGTCACGCCGCATGCATTTGGAGATCTGTCTGTTCAGTTGCCTGTATGCTGTCAAATCTGTTGACGATTGCAGCCTCATCTCCCGTCTAACAGCCATGAGATTAAGAGTGTGATCGGAGAGTTTTTGTGTTCTTCTGCGGCGGGTCTTGCAGAACTTAGCTCCGATCGCATGGACAGTTTCCACGAGCTTGTCATTCATATCTGCTTGTAATCTTCTAGGCACTGAAAGCGGTTACGTAACTGGAGCTGAAAAGTTTTGGGATTCTGGATCAGAGCACGAGGGGGACGGAGCGTTGACTTCATTAGACGAGACCTCTCTAATTTAACGTTAGGTTCAGTGTGCCTCTAACCGTTCGGTGATCGCTGCCAGTTGTCACCCTTGCGATCACTGAGACATCACTGAACAGCTGGCGTCTGGTGGTCATAATGAAGTCAATCTCATTTTTTGTCGAACCGTCGGAGCTCGACCAGGTCCACTTATTGTGGGGCTGCTTCTGGAAGATAGAGTTCATCATAAGGAGTCCCTCTTTCTCCATTAAGTCGGCCAGCTGCTGGCCCATACAGTTCCGTTGCCCTACTCCAAATTTCCCTAACTTCAGCTCACCGCTTTCTCTTGTGCCTAGTTTTGCGTTGAAATCTCCCATCAATACCATGT